ACGTAGACCACTTGAGATATGTCAATTCAAAAACTGTCATATAATGCACCATTTTGCCCAATTGAGAATTACAAACCATCAAACACACAAGAATTTTAGCAGTATGCTAGACAAGCCATGACCCATTAGGTCATCCTTTCAGAGATATTTCCTTATCTTAACACAGAAACAGAATGATCATGGCGGATTGCTATTGTTTGGGTTTTAAAATTAAGAAAATATCTTTTTATTAAAGAAGAAAGATTGAGTAGCAAGACTATAGATTTATCACTGCTACATTAATTGAGGAGTTCATAACACAGAGAATGCCAATTATCTATCCTGATTTTCCAGAAACTGGCAGTTTTTCCAGGGAAGGACAGTGGCAGACTCTTTGGCCAATGTGCCAATATCAACAAAAATATTACATTGTGCAAGTCAGGCATTTTGCCTCACTCTTTCTCTGTTGAGGTCTTGTTGAAGGCAGGTATTGTCATATTGATGAACCCCTGCAGTAATTAATATTTGTCACATACTGAGTTGATCCCTTTCCTCTTCCATCTTTTCTTGCTTCTTTACTCTGTACCTTTTCTTGTAATTCTGGAGATGTGCAGCCTTTTCATTCTCTGTTTCTTCACCTCTCTCTTCCTTACTGCATCTTGATATTTGGAGTCATCTCTTGACTATGAAACCACAACCATTTCTCTTGGTGGTGATATAATTTTATTTATTTTTTAACCAGTGACACAGGGCATGTTTGTGTGCCAGAGAAGGGTCAACTAAAACAATAAAAATATCCAGCCTTTTCTTCTTGCATTTGAAAGTTGGTTTTTCTTTAAGAGCCACGCAATGAGTCAATTCATTGCTGCTGGGTCGGGAAGGGAGTGAGGGATTGCGAGTCTGACTGGGAAATAGTTGTGGAATGTTGAAAATGAAAAAAAAAAACACATTCGCTCATTTGAGGTATATTGGTTTAAAAATTGTTGCCCTACGATGCATCATTTTGGCTATGTAAAGTTAATCACAACTAAAGTTTCAGTAGTCTACGGATTAATATATCACTATTTTCATAAAAATGTATACACCAACTCTGAAATTCTCATTAGTTACAACCCCCGTCACAAAGAAAACAAATAAAACAAGAAGCAGATGACAACCTACGGTGTGCATTTGTGTCTTAGAGAGTAGGAAATAAAGCTCCCAAGTAACAAAAGAAGAATGCTTACTGATTTCCAAGTTATCTTTATCAACCAGACTATTCACAAGAGTATCAATAAAAAAAACAGAAAACAAATCAGAACTTTTCAGAGGATTGATGGCCCAGTCCAGAGACATTTCTATTGTCAGATAAATTAGCTTCATTGAATCCATGTGCGATGATTGAATTGAATTGGGGGGATTATTTTTTCCCAAAAACTGCCTCTATATACCATACGAGACATAGATGTTCCATTCATTCTTCAATTGACCACCGAATTTGTTGCCTTGCAGGGAATTGCAACATCCATATGAACCACTGGTTTCAGGACTGTTAGCAGAAAATCTAGATGTTGTGCTAAAATTATCTTAAAAGTTTCACCACAAAAAATTATCTTAAAAGATCACCATTGTTATCATGCTTTCTTGTTAAGTTCCCTTTGCCTCTTTTTCATTATTTCCTTAACTCTCTATATGCCTGATTTTACTATATATTATATTTATAGCAAAATTGGTTTTGCCCAATAGCAGTTTACCCATCATTTTCTCCTGTATAGACTTGGATCCTTTCTCAAAATGGGAAGAATATCAAAAAGAGATTTTATAATACTCATTTTATAAAGAACAAATATTTTTGTTTATGCTGTTGGCCCTGAAAATATTAAGTGAACCTATTACAGTAAATCCATTGTCATGGTCAGGTTAAATTTACAATTTAAAAATAAACATAATAGAAGAAAAATAGTATTTTAAACAGCATACAGAATGCATTTTTAGCTGACACAGCATAAAATTTACTTAACACAATCTATTTAACTGTTGAGTAATGCTGAACCACAGATAATAACATAAATCAATTTTAAAGTTTGTTTAGCTCACGTAGTCAACATTTCTTTTAAAAAACCTTCCTTCTGTTCTGGGAATATTTATGGTATATTGCTAGTCTAGGACTCACTAACCAGTTTATTCCTGATGTCCATATCACAGAGTGCTTCAGCCAAGATAGTGCAAGCTTCTTTCACCCCCCAGTGTGCAGCAGCATGGAGTGGTGTCCATCCATCATTGTCCTGAACATTTATATTAAACCCAGCTTGGATCAAGAGTCTAAGGGAAAAATAGTAAAGATGGCAGCAATTCAGTCTTGTAAGTTAGTAGACACTATAAGCAGCATGCAGTGCATTTGTGAATGAAACTTATCCCATGACAGAGATTAGTGTGATCAAGTGGACAGCTGTAGATGGTAAAAGAGAAATCAAGTTTAAGGTAAAGGGTAAAATAGCTTCTTCCTAATGATGATGGTAATTAATGATCAACCTTACAGATGGAATTGAAGAATCTGATAAAAAAGAGAGCACAACCACATTTTTAGGAAATGCTTTAGTCAAGCAGAAGCAAATCTCAGAACAATGAGCCAAAGCTGAGGCATTGGCATTATCTTGTGGATTAACTTCTGCACAATAACATTTAAAATTATCATGTTAGACCACCATGGACTAATTTAGCTGCAGTTCAGCACAAATATATTCAGACGTCATCTCCAGCCAAGTCTGAAATTAAATCTAAGACTTGCAAATATTTTATCTCTAGTTGTTCCTTCTTCTGGATCAAGTCTTTCTTAGCATAATCTGGGGATAAAGCAGTTTAGCATTTCATGGCCACCATGACAACAAAGGGTGTAAAATCAATCCAGATTATATAACAGGTCTGATTCACATAATCTGGATCTAGTCTTGAACTAAGAGCCAATGGGATTCTGATAGCAGATGGTATTATACTAAACCCATTGGCATGGTCAGATTACTTTCTTGTAATCATGATTTGTTAGTCCTACCAAAATCTTCAGAGATCATTAAAATGCCCACTTGACTTTCAGAGAGTGCTTAGGAAATGAGCAGGCAATTTAACAGACATTCTATTCAGCACCTAACTAAGTAACACAATATAGGCAAGTTGAAGGCACTAGATAAGATAGTTTTCAAGTGGCTTCTTTCGATCTGCTGATCCAGGGCCTTGGGATGCTCTGGGAGACAAATCAAAGTAAGGGGCATATAAAGCAATGCTGCAGAAAACAAATAACAAACACAATTGGCCATGGTATACAATAAGCTCATATCTGAGTCTAAACTATGTCAAGTGTAGCAAAAAGTTGGTGCTTCTTGGCATCTAGGGTATTAGTGGAATGCCATTCAGCCACATTGCCATTTTTGGATACAAATGGGACAAAAGAACTTAGTATTGACCTCTTAGACTTTATTGTCTAAAAGCACTTTATTGATAAAATCATTACAGCTCATTTGGGGTTAAACACTGGCTGACTGGCTGGCTGGCTGGCTGGCTGCCTGGCTAGACTCTGAAGAGATGGCATCCTGTGATAACATCTGAGATTTGTCTAATTCTGGGAACTTGTTAAAATGAAGAGCATCCTCTGTAAAAGAATTCTGCCATGTGTGATCTAGGTCCACATATCACTAATAGGCATGAATTTGAATTTGAATTTCCTTTATTTGTATGCCGCCCTTTTCCCTGGGGGGACTCAGGGCGGCTCACAATTCAAAAAGGGAGGGGGGGAAAGACAAACAGTATTCCAATATGGAAACAATACAACATATTAAAAGAGAGCACAACAGTCACACAATTCGGGTGGGGTTGGAATCTTAACCCCAGGCCAGCCGGGACAGCCAGATCTTCAAAGCGGCGCGGAAGGATTGGAGGGTGGTGAGGGTCCGAATCTCCACGGGGAGTTCATTCCAGAGGGTCGGAGCAGCCACCGAGAAGGCTCTCCTCCGGGTAGTTGCCAGTTTGCACTGGCTAGTAGATGGAATTCGGAGGAGGCCTAATCGATGCGATCGTATCGGTCTAGTAGAGGTAATTGGCAGTAGGCGGTCTCTCAAATACCCAGGCCCACTACCATGAAGGGCTTTATAGGTGATAAGTAGCACCTTGAAGCGCACCCAGAGATCGACAGGCAGCCAGTGCAGCTCGCGGAGGATAGGTGTAACGTGGGTGAAGCGAGGTGCACCTACAATCACTCGCGCGGCCGCATTCTGGACTAGCTGAAGTTGCCGAATGCTCTTCAAGGGCAGCCCCATGTAGAGCACATTGCAGTATTCCAGCCTAGAGGTCACAAGGGCACGAGTGACTGTTGTGAGGGCCTCCCGGTTCAGGTAGGGACGCAACTGGTGTACCAGGCGAACCTGGGCAAATGCCCCCCTGGTCACAGCTGACAAATGATGTTCGAAGGTCAGCTGTGGGTCCAGGAGGACTCCCAAGTTGCGAACCCTGTCTGAGGGGCGTATAATTTGACCCCCCAGCCTGAGAGATGGAACACTTGGCCAATTCGCGGGAGGGAAACACAGCAGCCACTCGGTCTTTTCTGGATTGAGCACAAGCTTGTTGACCCCCATCCAGTCTTTAACAGCCTCCAGACCCTGGCTCATCACATCCATCGCTTCGTTGAGTTGGCACGGGGCGGACAGATACAACTGGGTATCGTCTGCATATTGGTGGTATTTTATCCCGTGCCGTCGAATGATCTCACCCAGCGGTTTCATGTAGATGTTGAAAAGTAAGGGGGACAGGACCAAACCCTGCGGCACCCCATACGTTAGGGGCCTAGGGGTCGATCTCTGCTCCCCAACTAACACCGACTGCGACCTGTCCGAGAGGTAGGAGGAGAACCACTGTAGAACAGCGCCTCCCACCCCCACCTCCCGCAGTCGTCGCAGAAGGATACCATGGTCGATGGTATCAAAAGCCGCTGAGAGGTCAAGGAGCACCAGGATGGAGGCGTGGCCTCCATCCCTGGCTCTCCAAAGATCATCGGTCAACGCGACCAAAGCGGTTTCTGTGCTGCAGCCAGGTCTGAAGTCTGACTGGAAAGGATCGAGATAACTGGCATGGAGGGGGAACTGTTAGGTTCAAGTAGTGAAAGTCTTTGGTATGGCGAGAGTGATATTACCATCAATCCTGTCAGGCCCCAAGAACCAAGAATGACATGTAAAGTTACTTAAGAGTTGTTTCCTTTATTGTTCTTTACCTATAGACAGGATCTTGCCAGCCTCAAGCTATTATTTGCACAACTACAGATATACCCTGGGAATAGCTAGGGAGGAGTCATTTTAATCCTCTTCATGTCAAATAAACTTTCCAAGCTCTTCCACTTCTTTGCCCTCTGGCAAGCAGTCCTGCTCTCCTAGGAATTCAGATTACATTCCATCACAAATCCTTCTGGGTAGCAAGTTGTTGGGGGTGGGAGGCATTGTTCTGAAGTTGTAGAGTTTAAGCTAACACACATATAGAGTTTAAACTAGCTACTTTATTGTTCTATGCCAAGTTCATAGAAATCTTCCCAGACTGGCAAATTCATCTGGGAAAGACTAGATAAGGGTCAGAGGCATTCAAGAGAGGGTCAAACCTTGCTGTCTTATGTTTATGTAACAGGTCAATGCTAATTCTCCATTTGATATCCCTTACGGAGTGGGACAGTTGCTCTCCAACACTGACAGATGGAGGGATTAAGCAAGTTATAGCAACATTCTGTTTCAAGTGACAGTTAATGTTACTTTCTTACTACTACCCCAAAAATGGCCTACATGCATATATTAATGAACTTAATGAATGATACAGGACACATAAACAATTGCAGCATTGCTTCAACTGGAGGTCAGTTCCAAATCACATCAGTACTGCATAAATCAAGTCATAAGTGCTATCACATTAGTTTTGAAAGAATCTAAAATCAAGTAAGTGAGCCTAGGAGGAATTGTTGTAAAGAACTCAGTCCCCTTCCATGTCACTGGAAAAACTCTTACAAGGCGCAATAAAAATAATAAATTTCAGAGATTCCAGGATCTCTTAGTACTGATGTCTCTGAAAATTAAATCATTCTATGTCTATGAAATGTTCAAACATAAGACATATGACATTTCCTGAATGGAAGTAATAAAGGAATAAAAGAAATGCATAAACTTGCATTACTGTAAAATGGTTCCACAGCACTGGCAAATGCAGAAAGCAAGCTTTCAAAAACTGAGATCAAAAGGTTCTGCTTCCCTAAAATTGGAACACTTAATGAACAAAGAAAGTGTGTTGTTCAATAAAGTTTCTCAAATACTGATGCTTCCAATACTGCCATTCTAGTTTGTAGTATGCGACAAGTCCTAGAACAGTAGCAAAAAAGCAGGCAAATGTTACACGCAAGTTAACTGATATTTTCTCTGAAGTTGATAAAACAAGCAAATCTTATTTCTATATAGCAAAAATCACTGTAGTGTGTGGGTATGCCTCTTTTCTTACAAGTAGAACCCTAATTTGTATTTATTAAGTTTGATGTAGCTACGGTATCTATGCCATTTAAAAAGAGACAGACAACTGTTCACCATTCCTGTTGTTGCAGGGGTGTCAAACTCAAGGCCCACAGGCCACATATGGCCTGCAATGAGGTCAGATACAGCCCACATGGTGATCCTGAAAACTTTAAGGGTCCAGCCCGCGTCACTTTGACCCAGCCCACGCCATCCCGGTGGGTATATGCACACATGCACTGTTCTCCATCACTGGGTGCAGGGCAACCAAATTAGTTTGCGGGACTATGATAAAAAAAATAGTTCAGACCTTCCAACCTCTTTTTTTTTGTGAGAAGTTGGAAGATTTTTTTTTGTTAACCATAGTCCCACAGACTATTTTAGTTGATCTGCACATGGTGATGGAGAATGGAGCTGGAAAGCAGGTTAGTGAATAGATGTGGCTTCCCTGATGTTGAAGGGCCCCCAGATAAGCTGGGGTGAAGAAGGTGCCCCTGCCTTGCTTCATCTTCCACAACTCCCCACCCGTTCTTTGTCACTTCTCCTTGCTCACTGCCATAACCTAGCAGGAAGCATGTAATATTAATTATATATAATTATGGTAGCTACTCTGTGAAAGTACCTGCTCTGTACAACACCTTCCCTCTGGAATTCTAGTCCCATAAACCTTTTGAAAGGTTCTGAAAACCTGGTTGTTTTTTCCCAGGCATTTGGGCCAGGATTTGGTTATATGAACTCTGCTGGTGAGGTGGTTTTTAATGATTTGTGATTTTTAAGCTTGGGTGGCAATGTGCTATTTATGTTTTAAATCTTGAATCCTATCCAGAGTCACTGTTATGAGATGAGCAACCCTATAAAAAATATAAATAAATGACATAATGAGCTAAAAGTTAACCAACTACATTATGGCTCGTAGTATATTTGAACCCAGCCACGTAACACTTTTTGGTTACAATTATTCCCATAGTTTAGTATAGAAAAGACTGAAAAGAGATCAATACCTCATCACCTCACAGTAGCCTTTAGCTGCCGCTACATGGAGAGCAGTAGCCCCTGTTCGAGGGTGCTTCTTCTCTTCAATTTTCCTTCTATTTAGCCACTGTCGGGCATCCTGCAACATTTGTTGTTCTTCTGCTTTTCTGGCCTGATCAAGATCCACCCCTGGAGAAACAGACTGCAGGTGTAAAAAAATCTCGAGGTAGAACAAAAAATGATAAAAGGGAAGTGGAGGTAAATATCCACATTATTGCAATGGGAGTAGAATTAAGATTTTTTTGACTACATATTTTTAAAAACTTTTTTTTTTTGCTCTTAGGAACATAACTTTTTTATAATTCTATTGAACAACACCTGCTGATTTGAAGTCATGCTGAAGAACAACTGCCACAATTGCTAGTTAGTATGACCAATGAGTATTCCTCATCATCAACAAAATACTGAGGTGCTTGTACAGGGAATACTTGCCAAAAATTACAATCTCGATAGAAAACTCAATTTTCATCTCACGGGGTGAAATAAATCTACTAAAATTCCCACTTCCAAAGCATATTCTGTAAACTGCCTTGAGTCACCAGGTGTGAATAGGCGACAATATAAATTTCCTAAACAAACAAACAAACAAACAAAAATAGTAGGTTTCCTTATTGGGAAACTTATATACATTCTTAACACACCAAAAATTGGGGACAGGGGGACGGGGATGTGGTAGTGAAAACTATCTATTTCAGCGTTTCTCTAGTCAAAATATCAAGATGTTTTCATATGAATTTTTGTGGAATGGAACATTTTTTTATACTAAGTTTGTTCAGGAGAAGAATAAACCAACTAGCATTTAGTTATTATGATATAAAACTATTATTATGAGTCACACTTCTACAATGACACATTTTATTTAAAACTTAAAAGAGATTCCACAGAAAATTAAACATTTAGAAACGAATGGAACAAATACTTCGCAGACATCTAAAACACCATCACGAAAAATTTAGCTTTTTATCAGCTGAGGAGAATCAAATTGGCTTCATTTCTAAGATAACATACTGTAATTGGAAAGAACTGAACTTTCCATAGTACTTTTCTTTATAGCTTTTGGGCAACCATCCATATTTCCTATACACTAAGTGGCCAATCACCAAATTGTAAAAAAAAATTCTCAGGGGTCAATGGACTAGCTGCCTATATAAAATTATCCTTTATAATTTCATATGAAATATAAAGCAACATTTTCCATATGTCTGTCATCAAGCTCGGTTTCTCCTCTTCAGAGTATACTTAGAATGTCTATTTCAGAAAAGAGTGAATGAGAGTTCAAGCTGTAATTACCAAAAATATGTTGGGAAAAAAATGGATGATGATCATCATTTGTAAGTATCTCACAGAAAATCAACATGTTGGGGTAAAACTTTGTTTTACACATATATGTTCATCATACAAAACTCATTCTACAATAAATTACCTATTACAAATGAAATATTTTTATATATTTCCAGAATATTTATTTTCCTTTCTAAAAATCATAATAAGATGTGGAGCCAAATTTAAGAATTGTCACGCATCTCTGTTCTGGAAGAAAGAAGAAGAAGAAGAAAATCCATCAAACAAAATCTAATGATAAGGAGATGCAAAGTTGTCTTACCTTGTTTCTTTACTTGTTCCAAAAGCAAATCTTTCATGGCTGCTTCCTCTGCAAGGTCAGCTGGGACTTCACCTTCACTGTTCACAGCAGCAACATTGGCCCCATGATTTATCAAGTACCTAGATGGATGAAAAAATAAGTGAGACTCAACTTCAACCCAGGTTTAATTTATATGGCCCTCAAATAAGGCAAGTCACCAGGCAAGAAATCTTCCATCACAGGAAAGAAGCAGTGATAGTTAATTTCTCGGTTAATTGAGTAACTGTAATAAATCTATAACTTTTTGGAAATAACCAAGGAATTTTTTCCCATGTTAGTAATATTGAACTATTTCATTATTTTTCAATGTAAAAGAATCATTTTTCCCCAATATGCATCTCTGGTTCATCCAACCCTTCTATACGAAAGAAGATTACAGTTCAAAAAGCTGAGCTGATTCTTATGGTTTGGCTAATTTACCGGTATATATTCTCATCTCAAACTCCTCTTGCCATTGCAATATTATAAAGATCATTATCAAACATTACAATGCAATCATATCTTCTCAGAAATAAGTCCTCCTGAGTTTAGTGAAACATACTTCCAGGGAAAATATGTACAACAGTTTCCACTTATTAATTTGTGAAGTTTGCATTCCTTACATCTCAAATGGTTCCCACAGTAAAAGCAACGATTCATATCATTTCACTGGGTCACTGTATCCTTATATTTATCAAAGCTGATAAAGACTGGCAAATATGGAATTTACCATCCCATCCCATTGCAATAACTCTTGTTTTCAAAGAAGCATTCTTTAAAGTGGCATACTTCTTAAAGTGTTATATTCCTATTATTAATGCTGTAATAATGGGTAGAATAAGAACTTTCTAAAGCTAAGGACCATACCATTTCCCAGAAACCAAGGAACCCAAGAGTAGGACAATAATGTGCTATAATGATATTACCAGTGGAGACTGGGCTGGAATCCTCAACCCATTTTTCCTGCTTGGGTAAGGGAATTGGGGAATGTTTCTTATCAGAGGTTCATCAACCTTATCAGAAGATTAAGGTTAGGCTTTGCTTTATTACAGATAGTTCTTGCTTACTAACAGTAATTGGGAACAGGACTTGTAAGGAATGACACCACATAATTGTGCTGATTTATAATAGCAGTGCCAGTTGTTCTCATTAGGCAAATCTCATATGGTCACAGAGTTCTGCTGTCACATGATTAACATTTGCAACCTTCTGGTGGCTTCCTCCTTGACTCTGCTTGTTAGAAACCAGCAGTGAAGGTCGTAAATGGTCAGATGATCATAATTGCAAGCCAGTTGCCAAGTGCCTGAATTGTAATCACATGACTATGAGGACACTGCAATGGCCACAACTATGAGGATCCTTCGTAAGTGCTCCTCATTCAGCTCTATAGTAAATATGAACAGTTGCTGAATGAGTGGGCGTTGAATGAGGTATCATCAATATGCTGATGATACTCAACTTTGCATCTCTATCCTGGTGATCCAAGTGATGTGATAAGTTGTCCTCTCAAGGTATCTGGAGGCTGTGGGGAACTGCATGGGGGACCATAGGCTTCAGTTAAACCCTGGTCAGACGGAGTAGCTTTGGGTTCAAGGAGCCCTGGAATCTGGGGGTTTATGATCTTTAGTTGTGGATGGGGTTGCACTCTCCCATATGGATTCCATGCATTATCTGGGGGTTCTCCTAGCCTCACCACTTCTGCTCAAAGAGTTTTATGTGGTGCACCATTTCCTGGATTGTGAGGCCCTGCAGAGAGTCATTCATGTCTGATCACATCTAAATTGAACTACTGCAATGTGCTCTACATGGAGTACTTCGAATATTTGGAAGCCATTGATGCAGAATGCAACTGATGAAAAACGCTCCAGATAGTTCTGGAGGCCTCTCAGGTGGCAGATGTAACATCATGAGCTGCCAGTTTACCTGTGGGTCCAATTCAAGGTGTTGATCATTAGCTTTAATTAGTCTTTTATGGCATGGATTCATGGTATCTGAGGAGCATGGGAGTTTGTGGGAGTAGCCCATCCCACTTGCTCCAGCACAAGAAGCCTAGTTTGGACCCCATCTGCCAAAAAAATTTAGCTGGTGGGGTTCGGAAGAAAAGCCTTATCTGCTGTGGCCCCTGCCCTCTGGAATAGTTCCTGCTTGAAGTGAGATCCGCCCCAACATTCCTGGCCTTCTGGAAAAGCCTGAAAACTTGGTTCTTTCAGTTGGCCTGGTGCTACACTGAGGGATGGCTGACAGGGTAGAGGGAAGATCCCCATTCCCATGCCATCATCTTCCTTTAGTTTCCTGTTTAATCCTAATAATTTTAATTGTTTTGTATTACCTTTTTTACTTTTTTATTATATTCTAAGCCACCCACAGTTGCTGTATCAGTGAGATGGGTGGCAGAACAATTTAGTGAATAAAGAAATAAAGACCACCTGTATTGCTACTGTTGCTATTAGTTTTTCCTTTGTAGCACCATAAAAATCAAATAATAGCTGATACGCATTTGGAACCTATTCTGTTAACCAGAATTTGACATCTCTGATGTTATAGAGTCTTTTGGTATCAAAGATCCTATTTACTTGTCATATAATTTCTCTAAGGAATTAATTGCATGTAGTGTTTTCATTGCTGCTAAAATGTAAAGTTCTAAATAATAATACCAACACAACATAATCATCCTAAATTTAAGACTTTATGCATTGCTGAAGTGCCTTAAAATGTAAATTAGAGAGAGACCATAGTATTAAAATCAGAGTTACCACTGCAATATTTTAACACGTTTGGGTTATTGTTTTATATTCATTTGATCCTGTTATTAATTTGGTCTGTATCTCATCTTTCTATTTATTTGGAGCATTCCATCAATTACATTGAAGACTTAAGAGGACTGCTGACCATTTTTGTTGCTTTCGGCTCATACCAAAAGCAACAAATATTGTCAGCAGAACAGAATGCACAGAAACGTACCTATAGCCTCATGGATACCTGCTTGGCAATTCATTTAAAATTATTGCCCCTCTCACGACATCTGAAACTGAAATAAATCAAATACTCTTTCTAGTATCCAGATCACACTGAAACTCACTCACTCTGCTATGTTCAGATAGCCACAAGATGCAACTGCATGAAGTGGGGTCCACCCCTCGTTATCTTGCTGATTTACATTGGCTCCATATTCTACCAGAAATTTTACCATGTCCAGGTTTTCATCTATACAGGCCTTTGGAATAAGAAGGGAAGTGGGAATGAAAAGAGAGAGAAAGAGAAAGATTAAAATGAGCAAATATCACTTTCCGTTTTAACAGCTGTAAATGATAGCAAGGACTTCACTGCCATACTGAGACTGCCTTTCTTTCAGCAACCCCTGATGTCTTCATATAGCTTGCTTCTCCTTTCACTATGCAAACAAACTGGGAGTCAACTTCCTGCAAAATGATCTTTGGGTATTCATTTTAGGAACAGCATTAAATCCAATAAGCTGTTTAAAAGTTGTTACTCCAGGAAAGCTTCAATGAAAGAGATTATATCAGGACTTTCAATGAAATGATATATGAGAGAACTAAAGCAAGTAGGATTTCTGCAAAATGCTTAAGTTAAGAGCCAATTCGAAAAAAGGAACCATTACTTAACTTAGAGAAAATGAAATAGTAGGGTTTTGGTTTTGTTGTGTTTGTCCTTGAGTCAGGTTTGGGGGGATTTTTTATTTCTGACAACTTTGTGGAGATGTCTGAAGTTTTCTTGGCAAAATTTTTGAAGTGGTTTGCCATTGCCTCCTTCCTAGGGTAAAGATAGAGTGACTGGCCCAAGAGCGTGAATTCCAGTCTCACATTAGGCACAAAGCCAGCTTGGACCAATAAATGTCTCTCAGCCTTAGGAAGGAGGCAATGGCAAACCACTTCCAAAATCTATCCCGGCAGTTACCCAGAATCAACACGTAGTATAATAGTATAGCCTTTATTGTCATTGTACTTCATGTATACAACAAAATTGGTTAACTTTGACTCAACACTGAGTCAAAGGCAGATCTAAAGACAAATCTATTTTTATCATTATCAGTGGTCTGCACTAATACAAAAGCGTGTCTTCCCAAGTAGGTCTCAAACATTAAATGTTCAAGTAAACTAAGCGACTTTAAGAAAACAGCATGTGCAAACCTTGTGATAGGTCAGGTATATTTTGTGCACTGAATACTAAAATAGAACTGATATAGATATTGAATAAAAATGTTTTTACAAGTATAATATACTGACTTCCCACTAAACAGACAAATTATTAAAATCAGAAATATAATTTAAAAATACTTGGCAATGCTACCTACATGCTGTAAAGAACTACATATGTCTACCAAGACACAGAATTGAGACATTCTGCAAACATGCTAAAATATTAAGGAAATATCAGGCTTGTGCTGCACATTTGTCTGGAAATAAAATTATATACAACTGTATAAAAATAAGTACTAAGTTTAAACTGCAGTATAAAAATAACTAGTATGCAAATAATCAATACGGAAAATAAATTTACAAGTTATTCTACTAATAAGAATCCAGAATGCAATGGCGAGCTCACATATCCAGAACACATAAAGTAAAAATACCATATGACTCATATGGGTTCTTTGTGAAATGATCTGATGAGTTGCAGAGTGCTACCTCCTATATTCTCTGGCTTCAGGATATTTTCTTAGCCACTGGCTAAAATGCAAAACCCATAACAAATAAAATACAGTATACAAAAATACCAGAAGTAATCGTTTTCTTACTGGTACATGAGTGAAGTATACAGAACCACTTATTTAACTGCAGTTTAAATCCCTTACTATGGTTGTTTGAGTGGCAAAGCAAAGCCTAACAGCTGAAATTCTTTTTGTATAGCAAGCCCTAAGATAGTAGAACAAAAATTGTGGCTTGCAAGCTGTACTTAGTCAACCAACCCCGCCTCCCCATATCAACTGCTAGCTATTATGTAGATGGGCCTATTTGTTCCATTGTTTTTATGATATAAGAAAATCTGTACTAGGATCAATAGAGATGTAAAAAGCCAAAGTAAAATTATTTTTATTTCTTACCCTGTAAAAATAGTTTTCCTGTTTTTTCTCTTTTCTATCATCTGTTGTTTTGAATGCATCACAGAAATAGATAGATAGATAGATAGATAGATAGATAGATAGATAGATAGATAGATAGATAGATAGATAGATAG